AAAAAAAGGTAAAAGAAAACAAAAAAAATCTCCTAAAGGCCTTTCTTTAGCATATTCATCTGCTACCTCACCAGCCTATAGTGGTGGAATGCCCAAGGGTGCCATGAGGAAGGATGCCACTGTGCAGGGCAGTGCACAAACAGCACCCAGGAGGGCAGGACATGCATTACCATCCTCATTTGACACCTGCAAACTCCAGGACAATATTAGTGAGAATAGACTTGTGCCTGGGATGTTCTCAGGGGTTTGATTTAGGGATCAAAGTGTCCCAACAGCCCTAATGCTCCCAGCTCCCCAGCAACAGGCGACCTTGGATTTCAAATGTTTTATTCACTTTCTCATATCCACACACCTCATTATCTTCATCTACTGGGTCAGACCTGGAGATGGGGAGCTGGTGGGGCTTACCTCCAGGTGGACTGATCCTGGCTTCTGGAAAACATTGGCTGGGTAATCACTAAATAAAACCTGACAAAATACCTTGGGATGTCCCATGTATTGTACCCCAGACAAACATGACACAGTGCAGCAAAGAACAATGGCCGGCAGGGGACAGGGACTGCTTGTGACCAGTGGCCTGCTTAGAGGAGTCTCATAGGAAGTGCCCCCTGCTCTGCGATGATGGTGGACGGGCTCCCTGGGGAGTGATAGCTGAGAGACCTGCGGTTTGAAGATCCCACACGCTCTAATTTAGAGTGCAGAGTGCTGCTGCGTAATGACTTAGCGATTATATGGCATTTACCAGCTAATTAAACAATCAATAGTTATTGTGCAGTTATGGAGTTAGCCCACAGTACTCTATCTTGTAACCTGTGAAATAAAGTCTTGCAGTAACATTCTGCTTTGGTGACACTGTGCACAGGCAGGCATGTGAATGCCCACGGCTAAGCAGGTCCGAAACCACCAAGGGACTGCTTTGGTTTTTAACATATTCAACGCACAATAAGCAGCATGCTGCATGTCTTTCCCCACCTTGGTAACTATCCGCTGGAAAGGTATTTCTGAGTAACCTAATGTCCTTTTACTTTCTACCCCTGTATTTACTGGTGTTTGACACACTGGCAGTCGTGGCCCTGATTTACCCAGGCAACCTAAGCATACACAGTATTTTAAGGACTTCTTGCTTGCTTTCTAATGCAAAGTAGAGATAAGCGGCAACAATAATGTTCTGTAACATAAACCAGCATTTCCTCACAGACAATGCTCTAAAAGGTCTTAGGGATTTTTGTGTTTACAGTTTTGCTTTCAGCCATCAGCTACCTGCCAAAAAATCAAAGAGGCAATGGCTCAATTCCCCAGGTCCAACTCACTGTCTTCCTGTTAGTCATTTCTTTAAACACTTTTTTCCAAGGACACAAAAATCCACTACTGCAGCAACGTCTGGCACAGGAGCTAGCAAGCTCTCAGCCTTTTATCAAAACCAGTTTACAATCTGTAACGTGAGACGCAGGATTATTAGAAAATAAAGAAAAGCTTCCGATTCAATTAGAGAGACAAACCATCACCAGTGCAGCCCTGATTAAAATAAAAATCAAGCTATTCACAAGAGAGTGTTAGGCATCTAACAAGGAACGTTATTTCTCTCTGCATTTATCTGCAGTGAAGAGCTTGAGTCTGGGGTTACAGGAGGGACAGCAGAGCAGGTCACTGCTGAGGGCTCCTGCAGTGTTCAGGTGTCACTGAGGTATGGCCAGAGCTGGAAGCACCAAAGTTACATTTTAACCTGCTGTCCTGAGCAAAGAAAAGCCTTTACTTGAAAATACAGAGATCAAGCTGAGCAAGCTACCTCTGCCTCTGGAGCACAAGCCTCAGAGAACAAAGCTTTGATTTACAGAAGCACTCTGCACCACCTTGAAAGGGATCTTCAAATCATGGCCCAGAAAGCAGGATCAAAGAAACTTGTGCAACAAGCTTCATCCCAGCGTCTGTGCTTCAGCAGAAGATGGTGCTCCCTTTGGGAGCTCTTAATGTGCCCCAGACTTGGCCAATGTCTTTCCACCTGCAAGCAAGGAGCAGGCACGTGCTGTGGCAGGGCTTCAACCCTCTCCAACACAGTGGGTCCTAAGGCTGACTCCACGAACCACTGCTCTCTGATTGCTTCTATTACTGCAGTACTATCAGACATTTTCCAGGCTTCCCACGCTGCTGGGCTGCGGTATCATTCAATCATCAAGACTTTATCCCATGGGATCAATGGGAGGTTTGTGCTTCACACGTCCCTCCAGGTTCTGGGCAGGCCAGGTTACCACCAAGAAAACCTGTAGTCTCTAACACAAATATGACCATGCAGCAGTAACAGAGCTGGCTGCTAAGTCAGGTTTTCTGAGGGAAAAATCAGGGCTGCAGCCCTGTTTTGGCAGTCTTGCAGCACACAAACAGGATGCTCTCCTCTGCCTGGAATAAGCATCTCACTTCTGCCTCTTTCCAACAGAAGAGTCGATCCTCTTGCTTCAGAGAAGCACCAGCCATGCAAAGGGGTGGTGATGCTCATCCAGTGACCAGACCTGGCAGAGAGGGCAGAGGTTGGACCTTCAAAGCTTGGGCTAAGAAGCCAGCACCAGAACACGCACCACAACAAATTATGCTTCCCACATCTGAAAATACAACTAGAGGCACACACAGGTTCTAAGAGGACAGCAACAGTGCACCTCAGATAGCACAAGCACAGAGGAGTGGGTCACCATTCCTGAAGGTATTTAAAAGACGTGTAGATGTGGCACTTAGGGACATGGTTTAGTGGTGGACTTGGCAGTGCTGGATTAAAGGCTCATGATGGACTTGATGATCTTAAAGGCCTTTTCCAACCTAAACAATTCTATGAATACCCCAGCCCCAACTGAGATGGGCTTGAAACAGCAGTGGAACAATCATCTAACTATAGAGGACACTGTCCCTAGGTATGGACCACTTTTAAAGGCTGTTGTAGAAGCAGGTTTGTGTGTCCTGAAAGCTGATCCATTTGTTTTACTGCAAGAGATAAATACAGTGATGGTATCTGGAAGAAAAGAATCACAGAGATCTTATTTTCACCCTGGGTTTAGGGTGGGACACCATAAACAGTTATGTATGCTTTATATCAAAGTCTCCTTTTGTTTATAGAGCGGGTGCTACTTCAAGAATTCAACTTAAGGGAGCTCTGAAGTCAGTCTTAGCCTGAACTCATACCTCAGTACTTACTAATTTGGTTTGGACAGAAGCATTTCCCCCTCCACCCCCATCACCATCCCGTCTGGCACCAGGACCAAGTGAATCACATCAAAGACAATCTGATTGCTCCAGCAAGTTAAAAACAGTTAAGAGAAACATTTTTTTCCTATACAGCAGGAGAAAAGTGGAACACAGAAGTGCTCACCTCCCAGAATGCCTGTACTTGGGGTATTTCTGGGTGGTTTTTCCCCACTTTGAGGTAACACACAGACACACCAGAAGAATCAAACAGGGCAAGATGAAACCCGATCAGCAGAGCCATGCGACCACTAGTGCCAGCACCAGCTAGCTTATTTCCCTTTTCTGCTCTCCACAAAAACATGATGCTTTCAAAAGGCTGTTAAAGGCGCATAGTTTCCACGGATTGTTAGAAATATGCACCAGTTAAAATTAGGTCACCCTCTACCATTATTCTAGCAGCTGAGAAAAGAAGCAGTTCAGAAGGGAGCTCTCATGGCAGGGAGCATACCATGGAAAAACAAGTACCCGAGGGGGAAGTTCCCTGGAATATAAGCTTGATAAGAACAGTTTTAGGTGGTTTGGTTTTCCAGGGCTTGGTCTGGTTTTTGTTTGTTTGCTTGGAGTTTTTTGGTTGGTTGGTTGGGGTTTTTCTCTTTTGTTTTCAGTTGGGTTTGTTTCTTGTTTTTTAAACATATTCCAGTTCAAATATTCACATATTTAAAACTCCAGAAGTTCCAGTTCATCTTCAGTTCACTTCAGTCCCTCTGTCCTCATACTGACGGGATTGGCCTACCACAGCAGGAGGATGAGGAAACCAGAATCCAGAATAAATATTTACTGACAAGTAGCTTTCTAAGCACCCTTCTCCTCTTCAGAGGGGCAGCTCACTGCCTTTTGCTACATGACAGGGAAGAGCTGTGGCTCCAAAGCAACAGTAAGAGCATGTGAATATACTCTTCTCTATAGTCAAATGATAATAAAGGCACGACAGATAAACAGGCTCTCTGTGTGCATGCATACACATATACACAGAACTTGTGCCCATGTGTACAGAAGTTTTTGGGGAGCTACTGTCTCCCAGCAGACTCAAATATTTGGCAAATTCCTCATGCAGCTGTGCTGAGAACCATTTCCTCACCATATATTAAGTGTAAATAAACCCAGACTTTGAAATAATTCAATCCCTCCCCAGCTCGACAGGAGTCATCCACAAAAAGACCCCACCAAGAAAACAGATCCTTAAAGTCTGGACATTTTAAATATTCTTGTAAAGAAGTTCATGGGTTTGAAATTCTGCTATCCATGGTGTCCTCGCTGTTCTCATTGGGAGATCTGCTTCCAGGTGTTTATAGAAATTTAAAGCAAGCCTACTGACTATTGTGTATTTAATCCTGCAGCAGGTTTCTGCGGGTGGAAAGGGTGGCAGCCAGCCCACGTGTGAGCAGAGCACCAGACTGTAGCAAATTCATTTGGCAGCCTATTGCAGCTGTAAAACTCAGCTTTTAGAAGAGATCAAGATTTATCTATTAAAGCACAGACTTTTCACTCCCTCCTCATCATGCAATCAATAAAAAGCATGGGGGAAGGGGGGAGGGAGAAAAAAGAAAAAGCTATTTATTTTTTGTGACAGTTTCAGAACTATTATGAATTGCTTATTCTAAAAGAGCTCTGTGTGCTACACGGTGCTTGCACAGAAGACCAAAAAGCTGGAGTTCAGCAAAGCTTCTTGTCAGGCCTGAAACAGGTCAAACCCAGCCAAGACGATGTGTTAGGATGCTCCACATTCAACATGTAACTAAGGCAAATGGGATGACTTCAGGTGAAGCCCTTACCTTATATACCTGCCCGTAGGTACCATTGCCAACAAGCTCCACCAGTTCAAAGATTCCTGCAGGATCCTAAAGGAAAAGGAAGGGAAAAGAAAATAAATGATCAGTATGTTTTAAATGTAATAGGAATTATCTGCTATTAAAACTTATGTTTTCTTATGCTTGGAATAAAACAAGCTAACAGGCAGGATGCAATTTCTGACTTCAAAACAGTGTTTTCCAGGTATATTCCTGAGGTCAGCAGCATTAGAGTTATTTGGCCTAAGCATCATTTTTGGTTTGGTGCATTCTGGCCTTTGACATTCTGGTTTATCAACTGAGACAAGCAGATTTAGGGCAGCACTACATGAGTGCACAGTGATTTGGAAGGTAGCACTGAAGCACCAAAACCTATCCCCAGACCTCCCTCCACCCAGTGTGTGTCCTGCTGGGGAAGGGCAGTCGCACACAAGTGCATACACGTGTGAAAGCTGGAGCACAGCCACCAGCACAGTTAAAATGACGGTACAAGCAGAGAGGCACAAGGAAGGGTGGGGACAGAATAAACCAGTGCTGCTATTTTCTCCTCTAGGTGGGTTTCCCCTTCCAAAAGCTTATTTATACTCTTCTGTTCCTCCTCCTATATTCATCACTCCAATTTCAGATAGCGCAATCCCCCTGGAAGCTGGCAGATACAGAGGCATGACAGCACTCGGGGGTCTGTGCACCCACCACCCACAGCACTGGTGAACCTGGCTCCCACCATCCACCCATCATCCCTAGTGGAGTTTTAGTCCCTTGAGCTGTTGAATGACTTGGCATGCCATGAGCAAAAGACTGCCAGCTGCAATTCGAGAGAGTGCAGGAGGATCAAGTAATGGCTCCAACAGGCAAAGGAGGATCAGCCAACAGCACCCCTTAGAAGACAGGAGAGGGACACCCATCACCACATGACATAGAGGCATCATTCATTACAGAGCCCACATCAGCTTAAGAGGGCTTCTGGGGTCAAAAGTCAAACACTGGCTCTTTGTGAGCAGCTGAGGAGCAAGCTTCAACGTACTAATAAGATCGCACGTAAATTAATCCAAGTCTTGACGCGACTGAGGCAGCTTTCTGCCCAGCCCAGAACACGTACTGCCACATACCTGCCTGGGTTCAGCACACCTCCACAGCAGGGTCACTGCAACCCCTCTGATCATCCTGTGTTTAGAAATGCCACATCCCATTTCTGCCTGTTCCTCCATCACTTGAGCAGCTTCCCCAGGCTGCCATGTGGGAACCCCCAGAGAGCTCCAAGGGTAAGAGCATCAGCTCAGTCTCTGGTGGGACCAACTGTAGCAGAGGGCAGGAAAGCGGTGCTGAAAAAGGTTTGGAAACCACTAAGGACACATCTGCCCTGGTGCAGTGGGATGCAATTCCCCAACTAACCTTCAGGCAGGCACTTGGCACCACAGGTGAAGCTGGGGCACAACAGGTTTCTAGCATGCAACATCCATGTGGTGGCTTTACTGATTTGGTACCAGGCAGCAAAATGCCGTGAATGGATGGGAAAGAGAACTGGTGGTACACTGGGCTTCCATGCTGGGCGAGAATGGTAGGAAGGGAGAACATGGCAGCAGCTGCTGTATATTCCTTGAGCTTCTTTCTTAAGGGTTGTTCTCTGCAGTGCTGAAACAACTCTGAAAGAGGCTTTTCCAGTGCTACAAGTATATCTATTTTTGAATATTTATTAGGAGATTAAGGGAGAAGAAAGCTGTGCCTAGGGCAGATGATCAGCGGGTTTGGAGAAACATCCAGGGATGCAGCTGGCCATTTTTGATAAAAAGAACTCCTCTTTGCAATGTGTTTCCAACCTCCTTCCACAAATCCTCAAACCAAAGAGAACACCCTCCCACCATTCCAGGCCACTTCTCACTCCTCTAACATGCGTCAGATGTGGTGTGGCTCTATTAGGTTTATCTGAGTTCATCCATCACCTGCCAGCCTCATGCCTGTCTCCCCTGCCACCATCTCGCTTTGGCCAGGGCAGCTCTGTGCTGGCCAAGGGCAGCTCACGCACAAGGAAAGCTTTCCCCATGGCTCCCACCATCCACAGCTCCTGCTCCAGCTCCCACCTGTGGAGCAATTTCTCTGCTGCACATTTTTCCAGAAGCATCGCCAAGGTAACTGGGCATCGGCACAGTGCTGAGTGACACTTCTCCCTTGACTGTTGGCACGAGCAGCCCAATCTCACCACAGCCATGGCAACACACTGGGAATGCCAGCAACACGCTGTCAGCGAGCAAAGCCATACTGCCCTCCTCGGCCTTGCTCCTTCCCATGCAGCAGGCAGCTGAAGGGACAATGCTTGTTCCCAACAGCTACTGTTAGTGCCCAGGAGTAATGTGTCATTAATGGCTCTTCCAGAAGATACACAGCAGAGGATGGGGTGGGCGGGAAGCGGGGGATAACCCTCTTTCCACTAGTCTCCCTTGGACCAGTTCCTACAGATAAGAGCTTTGCATTTCAATAGCTGATGGGGAGTAGGGAACAAGCTGTCCCTGGTACCTTGTGCCCCTCAAAGCCCCAGCTCAGGTGCTTCAGGAGGGTACCAGAGAGAAGTGACAGCAGCTTGAGCAGGCTGGAGTGAGCAGCAAGAGCGGAAAACATGGAGGCACGCTGCATGGAAGCTCTTCTGTTAGCCAGGGAAAAAGAAACCCACCCTGCACAGCTCTGACCAGGGACCAATCCAGGCCAAGCAGGGAGTAATCTCAGACCAAATATAGCCTGTGCTGCAGATCAGGGCTCACAGCAGCGTACTGCATTGCACTTGGCTGGGGGTGGCCTCAAAGTTCATTAAACACAGCTGCTTCCAGCCTAGTGCTATCAACTTCTGCTGATGCCCTGTTCCCCATCAAAGAAGGACACACAGTCGGTGAGGCTGCAACCCTCCTGCCACAGCAGGCTCCTCTTTCCACACCCAGACTGCCTTCAGAAATACTACTGATTTCAATTTTTTTAATGAAAACATCTGAACTAAATAGGAAGGGCATAAATAAAAGGAAAAAATGAGGAAAAGAAGACGCACTGTTTAAAACAGGGTGAAAGAACCAGTATTTAAGACAAACCCACAATGATTTTCAGCTGTCTATTAGCTTCACACAGAAAAGGATTTGTACAGTTGTAGTAGCACAGGGCTCTGTGAAGAGCCCTTATACCAAGGTACGGTCCTTCCCTCCTCCCTGCCCAAACAAAGGAGGTGACCAGAAAAGCAGGCAGGAGTGAGAACACAGGTAAAATTCAGCACCAGCTGGGGCTGTGTTCAGGAGACCCTGACCTCCATTCACCTCAGCAAGGCAGGGCTGACTTCAGAACACATTAGCTCCAAGCACTAGAAACTGAAACCTCATCCTGGGTCCATAGGGGCCAGCAGCACCATTTGCCCCCATGACAGGTTCAGGAGGGGCAGCCCCCAAACCCAGGAAGGGGCTGTAGAGCCGCAGGGATGCCAAGGGACATTTGCACATCACCCGCTACCAGCTACTCCTGTTTTAGACCTCCAGCAATGCACAGCTAGGCCATTTCCTGCTAAGGAAAGGAGTTTATTTTTAGTTTAAAAAGTAAGCTTTGCAGGCTCAGCACCCTGATCCCAGAAGAGCCCAGCTGCAGCTTTCTCCATAGGAAGGTGCCACTGGCCCCAGCACAGCCACTTGCCCACCCTGGCACACAAAGGCCCATTGAGAAGGAGTTACTCAGGATTTGTGCCAGAAGACATAAGAGCAAACTGAGGCATGGGGCTCTTCACAAAGCAACAGAACAGTCAACAAGAGCATCTTTCAGTTGCTCATGGGATGGGAAATGTTTTATAGTGGCACCCAAGGAAAGGGCTGCGCAGACCCAGTGGTCCTGCAACCAGGAACAGGCTGGCACCCAAGCTCTCCCATGCTGGGATCTGACCAGCTGCAGCTAGAAGAGGCTCAAATTCAAGAAGGAAATTGTTATGCTCCTCACCCACCTCCCAGGAAAATCAGTGGTACTAAAGTCTTGGTAGCTACAACCAGTCTGAGATGCAGAACAAGGCAAGAGCGTCATCTTTTCCAGCAATATCTTGGGGAAAGGGAAAGAGGGAGTCCACTTTATTTCAATAAACAGTATATTTAAAACCGCTGCATTATCAGAAAAGGGACTTCTGTACGTGGATGATAAAGCAGGATGCATCCAAATTTCAGCAACAAAACACACATCCTTTTTGAAGGGCTTATCGGCATGGAGCACACAGCAGCGGGGCTCCTAGCAGTAGGACGCTCCCGGTTAAAACCACTCTCTCTGTCTAACCCAGACCCCAGCAGAACTACAGCTGAAGGACTTCCTTGCCTACACTGTGACATCTCAACAAGTCCAAGGCACAAAAAAGCCAACACTTTGCTTGAGGAGACCATTTAGAGAGTAATAGCCATATCCAGGGCTAAGTCAGCTGAGGTTTGAGGGCTGCAGGTGTCTTACCAGTGTTGGCTATGGTGACCACTGAGTTAGTCGATCACCAGTTCACAGACCACCAGTTGGATGTCCTTAAATAGTTCTTAAATATAGCCATGCAGATGTCCACAAACAAAAGGTGCATTTATACACAGTCTGTACATCAAATTTGCTTGTTTTCCTTGAAGAAGCCTCATTTTTCGCCCTTCTAGCCCACACAAAACGTATGTAACAGAAAGGGTTACATGAGGGGACAGCAGAGAGATGCTCGGAGGGAACTGAGGGGCACACCAATTAAACCACGATTGCTGTGAATGCATTGGAGGGGAAATGAGAGATCAGAGGCTCTATAATCATTGTGCACTTAGTCCCCCAATTCTGAGCAGCTAATGACAACTTCCAGCCAAAAATCATGGAGATAACCAGTCATTAAGCAAATGTTATAACCCTAGAGAAGGAAAATGCACTGTTAACTGGAGGAAGCACGCAGTTATGGGTCAGTAACAGAGTAGCATCCCTAGGCACTAGTTAGCTGAAGCAACTCCATGGCACTAGAAAGGTTTTTTTAATCTTCACTAAGAATAAAGCCTGTGAACTAATGTTCCCAAACATAAGGATTTTACAAGCCTCTG